ACAATAGAGCAAACGATTTTGTCGAGTTATTGTGTCCTTGTGCACAAAAATACTGCTTACTGTATTGCCCGATGAAAAATTAAAGGAATCAATTTGAACTGTTGTCCCTTAATTTTGGGGTAATCTCTTTAATATCTTAATCGGCTCAAATCATAGGGGAAATAAATAGAATTACCTCCCGTAGCTCTAATAGGTTTCGCTTGCCATGACAATTTAAGTTGCCTGGTTACAGATAAGCACACATCAAATATTTGACAAGTACTAATCTGACCATGCAAGCGTGAAACTCTGATACGATTTTATTCGGTTTTCGTTAGCTTGGAAGCACATCTGAGAATTATTGAAAATTGAAATGATCTATAGTCCGGAACCCAACGACTGGAAAACACAGACAAACAAATAAATCCCCAAAATGGCTCAACTTGACAATTTGCGTTCTATAATCTATAATCTATAATCTATAATCTATAATCTATAATCTATAATCTATAATAAGATCTTTTGTTTTTTTTCCCCGGCACGGCTACTTCAACACGTGGTCTGTTTTTAGAACAAAATACGATACTGAAGGGAATTAACAAGAATTAGGTCTTTTCGGATCCCTGCAAAGAGCGAAACAGAAATTTCTCGAGGCAGTTTCATTCCCATTCGAAAACCAGAAGGATACAGCATTAAAAAAAATATATAGCTTAAGAATAGCTTAAGAACGACTTGATTTCAGGCTCAAACAGCGAACAAAAAAAGGGTCGACACTAAGAATGTCCGCCTTTGACCGAAAATTGGATGTTCTTAAAAGAGAAGAGTGTATCATGATAGGGAAGGAAGTTTTTGGAAAACACCCATAGAAAAATCGCGTTAAATTTTAGTTTTAGTTACTCAAATAAGAAATATACTTTAATATGTAGGGGACCAGACTGCGGAAAGAATCACTTATGCCTCCAATACCATCAGCGAGAAGTTCGCCTTTCTTTAGAAAAGCATCAACTCCTCGACGGCAGGATGGCCAGCGCCCTAACACACCAGTAGATCAAGAAGGTGATCAAAGCAACGCAGATAATGGAATCATGGTGGTGGGAGAAACTGGTTATTTACCGCTGAAGTCTAGGAAGAAAAGTTCAGCAGAGAAATTAAGTGACACTGCATTTCAGCTTTATACCCTTGAAGACTCTAACAAACTTCCTAGAATCTTAAAACCCAAGAAAAAAGTTTCCAAGGGTTCAAAACGAAAGAAGATTGCCGCCACGAATGATCAAAACAATAATTCAATTGAAGAAAGTCAAGAAGACGATATGGAACCCAGGTTGAAAGCAATTGAGGTGGAAAAACCGGGGACCTCAGAAGACGAAGGGGAATTGCACAACAAATACGGTTTGGACTTGAAGAAAGATTTCAGTAAGTTTATCAGCTAACTAACTGGCCATGACTGACCAATACCATAGTAATAACATTAATTTTACGAATAAAAAAACCTGTCAAACTCCAAACAAATTAATGCA